TAAAGCAAGGGGTTTTCTTTGAATATTTTCTATATATCAGCCTCAAAATAATACTGTTTGACTTAGATAAGAATATCTTACGTTGATAAAAATATAATTATTTGTAAGATTATATTGAAAAGAAAAATTTTTCCCGCCAAGAAATTTCTTTGAAAAAAAATGCAAAATTTTGGCTAAAAATTAACATAATGTGAGCTCATGTTTATATTTTAATTAACACAAAGGCATTCTAAGACTAACAGTACTAAATTGAGGCTGTCAATCCAATAGTTTATAGTAGTCCATTTGCAAATTGTGTTTTCTCTTTTTTTGTCTGGATAATCTAGAATACAGAATTTGAATTATTGTTAAGGGGAATTTCATGGAGATTGCTTTTCATTTAGAAAGAAAATTTAATGTAGTCCGGTTATCTTTTTGTAATTTTTGAACATAAAGAATGAATTACCTCCCCTTTACTTTCTAATTATTGCACAACCCCATTAGCAGTAGTTAGTGGGTGAGCCGTGGTGTTGTGGTCTGTGGGTCTGATATGACCTCTTCCTCTGAGACTGAAGCAAGGGATAACTTCCTCTCTTCTGGAGATCTTGTATCTTCTGATGTTTGGTACTCCACATCATCAATTCGATATTTACCTTTTGTAAAAACCAAACTGTTCAGAATTCAAAATTGCACCCAATGGACGAGGTTCATCTTGAACCGGGTTGTTGTCAGTAATTTGTCCACGTCTAAAATATTTTAGTTCCTGTGTAATATTTATTATAGTGGGAATTGTTACCCAAAAGCTTCAGGCTAAGATGATCCTACACGGAACACCCAACACCAGTGTGTAATTGAGTTTGTCAAACATCTTTTCTGTCTCTGCCAATATTTATTTTTTACATATATCTAGTACAGAAATTTAATATAGTCTGGTTATCTTCTTTTCCTTATAAGATAAAGAATGAATTATCTCCCCTTAACTGTCTTATTGCACAACCCCATACACTATATTTATAATGAAGAAATTATCAGTAGTTAGTGGGTGAGCCGTGGTGTTGTGGTCTGTGGGTCTGATATGACCTCTTCCTCTGAGACTGAAGCAAGGGATAACTTCCTCTCATCTGGAGATCTTGTATCTTCTGATGTTTGGTAATCCACATCATCAATTCGATACTTACCTTTTGAGAAAAAAAACTGTTCAGAATTCAAAATTTCAACCAATGTACGAGGTTCATCTTGAACCTGGTCTTTAATTTATCCAAGTCTAAAATATTTTAGTTACTGAGCATTATTTGGATCTATTCCACTAAAACATATTATGCTAATAATGGTACAAATGTAGTCTGTGCTATTTTTAGAAATCTTCTCCCCACAACCCCCTCCTCCCGCTTTTGGGTTTTTGCATGCCTTTTTATTGACTAATTTTATGGTCTCGATTTGGAATTTGGTGTCTGAAATTGCATTTTTTTCTTGCAGATTTTGTAACATGATGAGAGATTTTCATGCGGAAGGATAATTCATTGAAATACTCGTTTTGTGTGCAGTGACTGACAAGTGGATGTTGATAAAATGTAGTGGTCTACTTTCAGTTTGACAAGCTCAAGATTTTCATGGTCATGGTCATTTTCATGTGACATATTGGAACGTTTTAAACGAGATTTCTGGAAAAAGTTGTCCTGTCTACTGTAGCGAGAGTTGTTATGGGCTCCAACCGGAAATTACTCTAATAAGGAAATTTAATGTAGTCTGATTATCTTCTTGTAATTTTTGAACATAAAGAATGAATTACCTCCCCTTGACTTTCTAATTATTGCACAACCCCATACACTATATTTATAATGAAGAAATTAGCAGTAGTTAGTGGGTGAGCCGTGGTGTTGTGGTCTGTGGGTCTGATATGACCTCTTCCTCTGAGACTGAAGCATGGGATAACTTCCTCTCATCTGAAGATCTTGTATCTTCTGATGTTTGGTAATCCACATCATCAATTCGATACTTACCTTTTGTAAAAACCAAACTGTTCAGAATTCAAAATTGCACCCAATGGACGAGGTTCATCTTGAACCGGGTTGTCGTCTGTAATTTGTCCACGTCTAAAATATTTTAGTTCCTGTGTAATATTTACTATAGTGGGAATCGTTACCCAAAATCTTCAGGCTAAGATGATCCTACACGGAACACCCAACACCATTGTGTCATTGAGTTTGTCAAACATCTTTCCTGTCTCTGCCTTCATATCCAATATTTATTTTTTACATATATCTAGTACAGAAATTTAATATAGTCTGGTTATCTTCTTTTCCTTATTATATAAAGAATGAATTGTATATTGTCGTCACCCATGTCCGTCCGTCCGACGGTCCGTTGGTCCGTCCTCAATTGCATGCTCGTAAACACTCTCCGAAACTTGGTAGGGTTGTTTGTAATCACCCAAGGATGAACCCTAGTGAAAATCAGAAAAATCGAAAAATATTATTGCCCTTGTTCTTAAAAACGCGTTCAATTCTTGACAGATTTTGATGTAGAATATTATTCGGTATCGCCTCAAAAAGTGCAAAAGAAGTGTATGTCTGAAGGTTGAATATTTCATACTGGTAATTGTTTCTGTACTGCCAAACATTTTTATCTAAAATCAAAGCTGCCAGTGGGCGTATTTTACCTTGCCTGGCAAGCTATCTTTGTATATTTGGTTATTTCGATACCAAGGCTTTCTTTTATATTGAAAATTTCTGGGTTATTGTCCTATTTTAAATTTCTTTCGTATTTTTTTTATATTGTGGTCGTTTTTTCTTTCTTATGAATTGTTTGTGCGTGTAAATCTGTTTTTATTCTGAGAAAACATATTATTTATTTATAAACATTATATTTATTTGTACACAATAAACAATAACAAACATTTTAACAGATTTATAAATATAATAAATAGAATATAATATCTGCTAAATAAATTTAATGGGACTCGAGGCGAAGCACGCAAAAATGTCTTGATTCAAATAAATATCAGTCACTCCTGATATGATAGGCATTATATTTGTGTTGTTGAAAAACAAAGAATGAAGTTTGATTTTAAAGGGAACTATAGAACACTAGAAGAGTAAGCTCTTGTTACTTGTTATACACCTTTGGTAGTGACAAGTTGAAATAGATCTTTGCTCAATTTATTTTTACTTTTTTAATTTTTTAGAGTTAATCTTTAAGCGTGCGGTTGCCAAAACGATTTGGTTGGTTTTAAGATGGGTTTCCTTATTTTTAGTGTCAAATTCAGCAAACTATTTGATAATCATATAATTATGTTCTTATTGCATACAATTAAGTTATAACCTATCATAAATTTCCATGAAAGTAGAGTTTGGATAAACATAAAAGACTTTTTGACCTTTCTTGATCGGTCACTCAATGGAATTCTGCTGGTAATTCTCTTCTAATTTAGCTAATTATGAATTATTTATAGACATATGAGACAAACTGGTATTTTTCCAAGTCTTTAGAACACCTCTACTTTCTACTCACATCAGTATTAGCATTATCATTGTCATAAATAAGGGAAAATAAGGGAACCCATCTTTAAGAGGTATCGGTAACATTTAGATATCGCTATTTGCGCAATTACTGGAAAGGTATAGTTCAGAAAATATTTTGGAAAATGTTTTTTTTTATTATCGATATACTTTCTTGTTTTTACAAGCAGCTTTGAAGAGCAGATGCATATCCGAGTTGACGAAACGACATAGAGACGATGCAATCCCCATTAGAGACTATACTTCGATCAGTTACACTGTTATCTTTGTGTTTCAGAGTACACATTATGGAGAACATCATCACAGTGATATATTTATCACATCGTCGTTTTCAGCGCATTCTCAAAATCTACACTTAGCACATTCCCTTACTTTCCAAGAATAAAACTTGAGGTAGACTGTAATTTTATGAAATAGTACTCATGGATCAATTAAATCAATACTGCCATGTCTGGATATTCCTGTCTGAAGTGTCGCCGTAGACATGTACATATTAGTATAAGCACGCCCAGTCGGCAAACCTCGACTACACCAACAACAAACTTTCTGAAATTGTCTTGAAACAGCAGGAATTTTGGCAGCATAAATAATTGGATTAAAGAGACTGTTTAAAGATCCTATACCAGAAGTAAAGGTTAGAATGGTATCCAGGTGGGCACCATAAGATTCCACGGTTTTTCTGTCTGCTAAAACCATTATCATGTAAGTTCCTGGAAGAAGAAAATATATTAAATTGTACAGAAGGGTCCATCGTTATCGATGTAGAAGACAACGTTGTCCACTACAAGTTGAAATAGCTATATCATGAAAAATATTGTTTGACTCAAGTTAAAATGCTCCATCAGATTTAAAAGTATATAGAAATGTGCAGACCCTAAAGCGCAGTAAATGATGGATAGGCTTATATTGCAAATTACATTAAATTGCAAGCAAACCTTTAATACATCAAACCATCGACTGATGCACTTCATGGAGAGCTAATATGTTACTAAATAAATGCATCTCTCTAATGATCGATGACATTGACAAGCATTGTATTGAGTATTGTATTGAACTTGAGCACACACTGGATATAAGTTCCATTGTCTCGAGACCACATCATAGTCTGTGATATCAGATATATAAAGCGGACGTTAACTTGTCATCTTCAAACCGACCGACCAAGAACACGTCACATTTCGGCTCATTTGGAGAACCAAAGTGTGCAAGCTTGTGATACATGTTATAAAAAATGCGAAAAGCTTCCTTACCTACAGGGATCCAACAAATTAAATAGATTCCAACGATAAGACCAACTGGCTTCACAAACCTCCACGTTCCACTTCTATGATAATCAGGTAATTGAGACTGGATGGCTAATGCATGTTGTCTAGCTAATAAACAAATCTGTGGATAAATAGTCACGATCACAATAAACGGAAAAGCATAAATAAATAAAGAAGTCACTAAATAACTTGTTGACATTACATCAAAGAAGGCACAATGACTCCACTCTTTGCCAATATTGCTCCAGCCAATAGCTGGTAAAGCAGAAAACGTTAACACAAATATCCACACTAGCATCGTCAAAATTTTCACTCTCTTTGGCGTCACATAAAAATGGTATTTGAAGGGATATTTGATTTTGATAAATTTATCAATTGTTAATAAAGCTATATTTAAAACGGAGGCCATATTTAAGCCATTGACTATTCCGTAGCGTAAGAGACACTCGTGTACATCTTTCCACTCCAGTAAGGTGTATAAACCGTTATATATCTCCAGAATACCTATTAATCCATCTGCTATAGCTAAGTTGATGATAAAATAGTTACACACATCTTGTTCTATAACATCAATAGACATAGCAGTCAACACTATCAAGTTTAATACAAACTCAGCTATACCAAAACCTACTAGAAAGGGAATTCCGACAAGATCCACCACATTGACTGGACTTCCAGTAAAGGCGATGAACACGTAATCTGTACCGTTCATCATGAGATGCTTAATTATGGACACCGTGCAGGATCTAATCGAATCTGAAATGATGAAATGAAGGTTCCCATCCTCACCACTGATTCGAATCCAAGATACGATGTCAGTAACCCTTCACAATTTCAGTAACCCTTAACAATTTAGCAACACTTTACAATTTCAGTAACCCTTCACAGTTTCGGTAACCCTTCATTAATCAGTAGCAATTCACAATTTCAGTAACCCTTCACAATTTCAGTATTCCTTCGCAATTTCAGTAATCCCTCATAACACTGTAACAGTGTGTTGAATATGCCTTGCTCTGAATAATGTTGGTAGCTACCATTTATGGATTATTCTTCAAGTAGATGGCTTCTCAACAGCAAAGCGGTTATATGTAAATTGTTTACAAAAAAAATCTTTTTTGACGGAACGACTGGCTCTAAAAAAGAAAAAAAGTTTTTCGACACGATCGACTTTTATATTATGTCAATATAATTCTGAAACGCACATATGTTTCACTGGTCCATCCTTTACCAATTTCTTGCGTAACTTGTTCCTATATTATTGAAATGAACACGACTCCAAAACCAGAATATAACTTCAATATGATTTGTATTTATATCTCCATGTAAGCTGTAAACTTATCCACGTTTTGTTAATTATTCACTATCATATTTTTAGCCTGTCTACTATTTAAAATTATCGTTTTTTAATCTTCTGTATTCTTATAACAATAATCTTTTTCTTAGTCTCTCGTGTTAAAAAACCTTTTTTTTTTTTATCTGAAAACCTCTTATAATAAACACATTATTTAAATCACTACTTGCGATATGTTGATGTTCACTACCACGAAAAAATGTATCTTTTTGACTGAGCAGCTTACAAGGTTCAATGGAGACGGTCGATTATTCACAATTTCTTAAAGATTTCAATCCATCAAATTTCAATCAAAACATGTCAGAAATCAATTTTCACTTGTTTAAACAATGGACATATTTCACTTAACCGATGTTGGTCTGCATACTGATTTAAGGGATTTATCACAAAATATTCTCAATTTCAATCGAGTTTTTACTCGCGCCCCATGGTTATCAATGAATGACTATATCAATCACCAATTTGGACCAACCTGCAAATTTTATAGGTCACATGACCGTGAATTACAGGTACATCAAGGTAAATTTAATATGTCCATAAAAAGTGTTTTTATCCCGTATAATATTTTAATATGCTTTCACCACGTGATATAGATCTAAAATAGGTTGTTTACTAAAACGGTCCATCGTTATTATATACTCATACACATACAATTCAAAAATAGAGAAAAATTTAAATCTTTATACTATGCAAGGACAGTCGTTTAAAAGCTGTCAATTTCTTCAGGACTTTTGTGGTATTGTAAAGTTGCATCCGTTAGTATAATTCTATTATTATACATTGTCAAGTTATCCAAAAGTAAACTTATATGCTATACAATAATGTTGTTTGCAAAGGAGTGCAAAGCAAAGACGAATTGTAGAATAGCGAAACCCAAACTAGACAAATATGGGTTTCTTTATCCTATTGTGACTTTCATTACCTATACCTACCACAATTCGTCCTTGTTATCATGAACGGGTGTAACATGACACGCTTTAATTGGTTAAAAATAAGGTTATTCTAGAACGGAACTGCGATAGAAAAATTGTTAAATTGCAATGGAGACAAAAACTATCCGAAAAAATGGAAACTAAATTGGAATCTTATCTTTATTACAGACTGTACGTTGGTGCCAAACTACATGAATTTATTTGGAGTAAGTTGTCATGTAGGAGTATTTCTCGCTTGCCTTAGCTACCTTCATAAATGATAAATAATTCTCAATCATTTTTTTAAAAAATATTCTTATTTATGCAAAGAGACAAATGAGCGTTTATTACCTTGACAGGCAAGCTGTCTTTTAATAGTGTTAAAATTGTTGATGGGTTCAGATTGTTCTCGACATCACGTCGTCACTATTTACCCTAATTTCTACGTTGATATTTTGTGACTAAATCAAGCAAGACTATCTCCAGCCTTAAGGCATATTTTTTAAAACGATTTTTAACATTAAAGATGTCATTTTGCCATCGGTTGTGATGTGAATTTCTATGAAAGAAGTTGATGAGTAATTAGTTATGACGTAATTAATGTTTATCCCATCAACATTTAACATCGAATCTTAATTATTTACTACATTCATAAATTCGGTCAATCAATTTCATCATTCAGTCAAAAGAACATTCGCGTTCATTTTTACTGATGTAGTGTTTTAGATGTACCATGTTAGGTCTCTAATATCTAGTACATGCCCTCATGCAGATGGAATATATTTGTGCTTGGTTATCATAGATAAATATTATAAAAAAACAAAGTCTCCCGAAGCTTGGGGTACACATAGGGCACAGATTGACCCAGTGAGGGACAAATGTCGAGGCTGAATTCAAAATGCGTGGGGCGTCTGAGAGGCTTCTCTAAGAAAATATTCAAAAAAATTAAATTGATGCATTTTGACACATATTTTGGGGAAAAACGTATAAAAATCACATTTTAAATTTGTTATGAAATAAAGTGGGGGTACAATTTTGGGTGCAAACTATTTTTCTAGAGAGGGGGTCCCCGACTACTGGTTCTCGACTGTAAATATTACTTATCAATGAGATGTTGTAAATATTACTTATCATTGAGACGTTGTAAATATTACTTATCATTGAGACGTTTTAAATTATACTTATCAATGAGATGTGATGAATATTTTTTTATCATTGAGACGATATAAATATTACTTATCAATGAGATGTGGTAAATATTTCATATCATTGAGACGATATAAATATTACTTATCAATGAGATGTGGTAAATATTACTTATAAATGATTCTTTGTCCAGGATTGTTCATCGATGAGATGGTGTAAATATTACTTATCAATGAGATGTTGTAAATATAACTTATTATTGAGACGATATAGATATTACTTCTCAATGAGATGTGGTAACTATTACTTATCATTGAGACGATATAAATATTATTTATGAATGAGATATGGTAAATATTACTTATCAATTAGATGGGATAAATATAGAATTGAGACGTTGTAAATATTACTTATAAATGATTCTATGTCCAAGATTGCTCATCGATGAGATGGTGTAAATATTTCACATTAATGAGATGTGTTGAATATTACTTATCAATGAGACGTTGTAAATATCTATTATCAATGAGATGTGATGAATACTACTTATCAATGAGACTTTGTAACTATAACTTATCATTGAGACGTTGTAAATATTACTTATCAATGAGATGTGGTAAATATTACTTATCATTGAGACGTTTTAAATATTACTTATCAATGAGATGTTGTAACTATCACTTATCACTGAGACGTTGTAAATATTACTTATCAATGAGATGTTGTAAATATTACTTATCATTGAGACGTTGTAAATATTGCTTATCATTGAGATGTTGTAAATATTACTTATCATTGAGACGTTGTAAATGTTACTTATCAAGAGATGTGATGAATATTATTTATCATTGAGACGATATAAATATTACTTATCAATGCGATGCGGTAAATATTACTTATCATTGAGACGTTGTAAATATTACTTATCATTGAGACGTTGTAAATATTACTTATCAATGGCATGTGGTAAATATAATCTATCAATGACATGCGGTGGATATTTCAAATTAACGAGATGTGGTAAATTTTTTACATTAATGAGATGTGGTAAATATTTTACATTAAGGAAATGTTGTCAATATTTTACATTAATGAACTATGGATGATGAAATATAGATATTACTTTTCTGTTTCAACATTGAGAAAGGCCGTTAGTTAGTTTGTTAATTACTTCTTTTTCATTTTAACGGATATCCAAATATCGCAAACCTATTTATTTTCAACGAAGGAAAAAAAGCTTCATTAATGAGTTTTCATTCAAGTTTTCTAAATGATATTCTGAAATGTTATGATGACATTATGATATATAGGCAGTTCAAACCAAAACAGACTACCGTGATTAATTAGGAAAATATCTTAATTAATTAATTAATAATTTTAATCAATCACTTTACATGTAAACAGCAAACATAATCTGTATACTCGTTTGAAAATATTTGTTCCTGTTATTCAAACAACAAGAGCACTGGATTGGATGTAAATTGAGATGACCTACATGAACATATCGTCAGATCATGAATGATGAATGAAGTCACTCAGAAAAAAACATGAAATGGGACGAAACGAAACGTCCATATCCGCATCTGGTCAAAGGTTTTGATGGAGGTAATATGCCGCTATAATCCATTTGACCTGAATTGTTAATGAAGTGGTTTTATTGTCTGAATTTAAAGTATGGATAAAAAAAAATTAACTAATTTGCATAGAAATACCAGTAAAGTGAGACAAAAAAAAAACGACCTCGGTAGGCCATTATATACTTGACAGTACCTCATTATGAGAGCCAATGTCATTAGATATTCATATTATCAATATTCATAGTCCAGATTGCCATGAAAAAAAAGCATAAAATGCAATAATAATAGTAGTTTATTCAAGTGTATGATATTCTAAAAATTTGAAAAATGACAGATCAACTATTATAAGCTTTGTGATCAATACTATACCCTTCACCATGTACATTTATAAACTGATATTTCTTGAAACAGTCTGCAAACATAGGACCCAAATCGTGAGGTAAGTTCAAAAAAGCATCCTTTTGGTAGAAAAATTTTCAAGTATTTCGACAGAATTAGATATTAAAAGCTGTCAGTTAAGGATGTCGTTGAATTTAAAAGGATATTACTGCGTCTTAGAATGGACATAAAATTATCAAACTTACTTTAATGGATCATTAATTAGTTTTATTTATTTATTGGATTGTAGAGGGATTCTATGACACCAGGTTAGTCCATTGATGAACAAAGAATCATTTTAACCTAGTATCAATATTTTAATTTTTTGGTCATCCTTAGAGATGGTATACCTTTAAAGAAGCTCAGTGAATCAACCTCACTGGAGAGTCGGAGTAAAAATAAAAGCTATAATAACAAACGGAACGAAAGTTTGGTCTTCATGTTATTTGGACTGTATTCAATTAATAAATCATATAGTTGTGTTACATCTTCACTCCAAATTTATAAACAGTTTTCTGCTTGTATGTATCCCCTTCACGTAATATTGTATTTGGAAAATTTGCCTGAAATTTGAAAAATTCTGAGTTTTATTGGTAAAGAATGCTTGCCAAGCAATATAACTTACGTCCACCGATAGCTTTGCCAGTGCATGTGGCGTTGTGGAGTTTTTAAAAAGCCTAGGGCATCAAGGTCAGCTTGCCACCTGGTTGACAACTCCGTGATGAGTTCAACTGTAGTAGCGACCACTCAATAAATAAGGTGTATATCTTACGTGATGAAGGCTGTCAGGATAGTGTTGTGCTTCTAAACAGAAACCACCAAATCGTTTATAAACCACACCATTCTTGCCCTTAGTGTCTTTCAAATTTTTACAAGTATAAAACTGCATACCAGGTTCAGTTGTATAACATTCTATATATCTTCCACTTGGTGGGTGTTCTATCCTGAGACAAAAGATTGTTTGTAATCGTTAAGGCAGGGTTAGGGTTTGGGCTATAAACAAAAATTCACAATCATAGTCTTTGTGGCCTTATGCACATACCGTTTTCTTCGTCGTTAAAATCAGTAGACTGTTATCTTGGCATTCCTTACACGAATAGTCTTGGAGAGAAAGCACCACATTACAGAATGTCTTCTATTGCAGACAATCCATCTTCAAGCGCATCAAGTCATTTCAGTCCTCTGATGATTCATTAAAGAATATAGTAGATATAAGTCATAACTTCGATTGCCTCTCAAAATTGTCAAATGACAGATTAATACTGAAAATATCTCACCTTGCTCCGAACTGCATACCTTCAACCGAAGGTAAATGAAAATTATTATCAAATCCAAGACCATTATTCACTTTTTCAAGAACATCTCCTAATCTTACAGGCTGTCTTAAATCTAATAATGTACCGTCAACTGGTCGTATTTCACCTGTAAGAGAAATCGACATCATTACACATCACATATTTCCAAATCAAAGATTGTTAATTAACTAAGCGTTGGTATCCAACATTTTGCGCGCCTTATATCCCGGGGGAAACTAATAATTCAGTTATAGCACAACTAATAATAAGACAATTATTACCGCCGAGTGTGGTGTGTAATAGTACAAGTACTCAATATCGAGAAGATTAAGGTTGATTATCAGGATATATTCATTTGGGATGTAATAGCATGCAGTGAGAGATGTCAAAAGATTCGTTAAGTAATAAGAGGAAATTCGCCTACCTGTTGGAATTGTATTTTCGTCTAACACCGTATAGGAATGACCAGGTATTGTTATTACGTGATCGTTCAGGTTATTAGATTCCTGGAGTAGATAAATATACAATTACGTTGATACAATGAACAATCAAATATCTTTCTTTTAACAGGGAACTTACTCGTTATTAATGGCATTGTACATGGTTTTGGGTATCAAAATCAGGGTATTAGTTCAGTTTGAAAACTGCAATCACAACAAATGCAGATATTCAAAATGTTCCGGTTGTAGACTTCTGAGGCAGGATTCAAGTTGAAAGAAGGCAGAATGATAGAGGAAAGGGAGGTACTGGGGTGATAGTCACCATTACTCTGAACAATTTAAAACTGTCCACTATTTAAGACTAAAATTGGGTTTACAAAAATGCTTAAGTATCCTCAGTGGTCAAATAAAATTGCAGATAATTACTCCCCTTGAAGTAAAACGTATATAAAACGTTACTCTTTAGATTGGTTACTAGTAGGCCTATAACTATTGCCCAAAGTTGATTTGTACAGTCGTTTGATTTGATACATTGTTTATTGATCAATGCAACTTACATGACCAGCAAGATTAAAATATGTATGATTGGTAAGATTCACTGGTGTAGCTTTAGTTGTAGTGGCTTTATAATCTAATTTCAGTTCATTATCGGCTGTTAGTTCATAGATAACTGTAACAGTTAGCTCCCCTGGATATCCTTCTTCACCATCAGCACTAATATACTTTAATAACAGTTTATCATTATCAATGGTGGCTGTCCATAACACCTACAGCAAATAAAGTAACTGATAAGATTCCCAACCTTCTTCCCCTTTTTCAGCAGGACATGGCAAGGGGTTTTTTTATCAGTTGGAATGAAATAAAAGGCAATGTGTTACAAGGTTCTGATTTTCTGCTCGATTTATTTGGAACACTGCATTTTCCCATTTTCCGATTTCCATCTGTCGGAGAATTTTAAACAAATACTCAACCTGTCGCATGGGGGCCTCGGTGCATTGTCCTATCCGAATGACTCCATGTTGGCGAGCATACGTCTACACAGAAGCTAGACCGAGCATGACCAGCTCATTCAGATTTATGAATCAGTGTTTCCTTTAATTACATCCAAACTCCAAAGGCCACTCAATGTATAGTTTTATCATTATAAGGCTGCACATTTCCAGAAATCCTAGCTTTCAAATGAGAAATAACATTGTCTTGTAAAATTGAACAAGATTTTCTGCCTAAATCATCGCCAGTCGGATAACAAATGTTTGTTAATATCCAAACCTTCCACGAACATACCTTGTCAAAACCCACAATGCCACCATGTAAAGCATTAGGTCCATTATTAGCAGCAAGCTTATAAGTCTTTCCATCCAATTCAAAAGAAGCTCCAGCAATTCTGTTGGCGTACCGTCCTATCAAAGCTCCGAAATATGGGCTTCTTGTCAAGTAACCTTCCATGTCATCAAAACCAAGACAGATATCGTTACTTTTTCCATTGTTATCTGGTAGTAAGATATCTGTTATGATACCACCATAATCTAATATCTTAATGGTTAAACCATTGTTATTACTAAGTATGAATCTGAAATCAATTATTTAAGACTTACCGGGATTGTAAAGAGGTTTCCTATCGGGGAGACTGATAGAATTTGTACTATTCCAATTTTCAATCAGACGGCTGTTGTGGTTCCTGCAATTTCTCTAAAACTGAGTGCTTGATGACCTCACAAAACGAGATGGGACTTATGTGATAAAGCATATTTTGCGACCAGTAATGTCATCAAACACTTAGATTAAATAGAATTGTAGGAACCACAGACGCTGATTGAAAATAGGAAAGATGCAAATGGATGCTGTCAGTGTCCCCGATACACATAATTTTTTTTTAGAAAACCTTTGAAATGCACTGCATTGCAGAAGGTTGAGAATAGGTCTGGTTAAAGGATTACTGCCTCTATTTAGCTGTAGCTTATTCAGGGAAGCTGTGCTGGACTCTTCGCTCTTGTCAGTTCCGCGCATGGAATTACAGAGGTCGGGTTTTATGCCACATCATACCGTCCCAGTTGAATACACGAGATCTGCCAAGGAAGCAAGTTTTTTGGCAAAAATCTCATAACTAGGTTAGATATCTCAGATATCTCGTCCCCCTTCGGACATAAACCTGGCTTCGCCACTGCATGTATATACAGTTATATGATACCGGTACCCCGTTGGTTAAATAAGAGGCCCGTGTCAAGTGTATGCGATGCGATAGATCAGATGGTTTGCTGTGTATCGCCAGTCTACCTGGGTCTACAAGAGAACTGTGCTATACTTTGTCCATATCTTACCTGGATACATCTCTTCCATTAGCTGTTTTTCCAAATAATTCCTGACTGATAGAGGACATTTTGTTTTTGTGTCATTTATATATAAACGACAAGTTTAATGAATAACAAATAAAAAGTACTCAGTTTAAAGCGACACGACCATGAATGAAACTATTATATTGATAATCAAATATGCGCATTTATTTATCCTTAGGTGTTTTTCCTTCGGAGTATGTCTTTGAGTGTTTAGGCAACCAGTATATAAACATGCTTATCAACGGACGTACTTTATGACTTTGTGTGTGAGGGTGTGTCGATACCCATATACTACATTGGCTTTAAAAACCGCTTTTGAACCATGGAATTACGGGCGACATTCATATATTGCTCTCGTAAATTAAACGTATTTTCTAAAAGTCGTAGATAGTTTTGCACCATTTTCAATCATACTCGTTATTACAATATTGTTCAATGTCATTCTGATGGTACAGCCGTCTCTTTAAGACTATCTTAAATGTGTTCAGTAAGATAACACAAGAAATTTGATAATAAAGTTGAATGAGATAATCTAGAAACTATTTTTGAGTGTCCTATATAGAATAAACAGTCTGACGTTCTAACAAGGTAAAGTTATAGATTGTGCAATGAGGGAAATGTAAGTCTTATAAGAATAGAATAATAAGATAGAATTATAGAGCTTATATCACGGATGCCCCTCTAAGACTATCTTTAATTCATCCTGTAAGATAACAAGAAATTTGATAATATGGTGAAAGAAATATGGTTGGGACTGTTTATTTTAGCTGTTATTTTTGAGTAAATATAGGTCTATCTAATGGAAATTATTGGATATTGAAACCCAAACTAGAACAATTTTGGCCTATCGTTATCCCACAATTCTTTATATTACCAAGAAACGGGTCCCGCATGACTCGTTTTGGTTGGTTTAAAAACTTGTTTGATTTCATTGGAGACGAAAAAGAAGATATCAAAAAGGAAAGGAAATTATAATCTAATTTGATTAATTAGAATGCTAGCGCCTTGGACCAGCCCGAAACTGACAAAAGGAACCTTAAATTTTAATAGACAGTATGTCAGTATCAGTGACATAACCATGTTGTATGGCAACATATACGACGTTTATCACATCTAACCGAGGCTTTCACAATCCCATATTCTCGTTATTAATATTGATTGGAAGAGGTTTTACTTCTCGACCAATTAGATTTCTTCAGACAAATGAGGGAAAATGTTTGAATAACCAGACGCACGATTTCCAGGAGCATGTTTACTTTCTTATAGTTGAGTCTCAAAGTTCAAGGCTTGGTTGAAAGGCACGTGGAAAGTTTCATGCACCAAACAGCTAGGCCTACTATGCTATTTTTCAGAACAGGAATGAACATAATAATAATTGCTTCCCCAGCTGTTACACCGCTTCTAATTATGACAATAATGATACTATTTCGCGAATGAATGATTTCACTAGGCAAGTACGAAACAGTAAGCTCCCTGCCATTTCACCATTACCGGAAAAATCCCAAGTGAAAAATAAATTGATTTGGAAGGAAGCGTTAGTATTCTGTGAATATTTAAGACAAACAGTCTATGGTAACAGTTCGGCCAGAGCTCTGTAACATTTCTTTTTTATTTGCCATTTATAATTTACCGGTAGGCCTACTATGACCAGATTGTTCCCAAGTTACCTTAACAACCTTATCTTCAGGGTGGGGGGCTTTGGATATAATATATGATATATGATGTATGACGGTTGGGGCGGGGGATGTCCCTCATCCCTCCAGGATCACCGCCCTTGACTACATTCATCCAAGAGTACCTTCAATCAGTTCATCCGATGTTCCATATAAGTATGCCCATTAGGTTTTGCATTTGGCCGTATTGGGTGGGATTATTGCAGCAGGTAACTTTAATATACCTCCTACTATTTATAACTTCGAAACAAATTAAACATCGGTTACCAAGCACGAAACACCCACTTGATTTTCGGAAGGCCTATATCAAGGGCTGCACCCCACATTTCATAAAAACTTGACAGCAGTTGTGACCTCTATCGCATTCACAAGCAAAGTATGGACGTACGGATAAACAAGGGCAGCGCCAACAAGGGCATTTAAAAATAACAACCCAAAGGTTTGACATGGTTTAAATGTACACATAGTAGTAGTAAATTCAATTCAATTTTACTTAAGTCCACAACTATACTACTTTTACTCCCGATTTTTCCATTCTTTGGAAGAGATTTTTGATTGATGGAATTGTCTTGATTGTACGGATTTTCATTCCAGAATTTCAGAACATTTTCCATGTTCGCCTGGATGTCTGACAGTGTTAAACCTCTATAAGAAACATAAAACTCTTTTTATTTCTATAATAAACAAAACAATGTTCCCTAATAAAAAAAATACCACTTTTACAAAAATATAACATATAATTCAATGCTATAAAAAGGTGTAGAATTCCTTTTTCAGACCAATATTACAATTGAAACATCTATATATCTATACAAACAATAAAATTCAAATTTGGAATATCTATATAACAAACAATTCGATAATTTATTTTTCAGCAGATCTAATGGAAATAATGTCATAATTGTGCAATGAGGTAAATTTAGTTGTCAAATGATGGTCAGGTTATCTTCATTGATGACTTAATGAATACTTCATCAACAGTCTAGTTTAGGACTCTAAATAGACTACAACTGTCTAATAAATAACAAATAACAAAACATAACAACCATAACAATATACCTCAATAACAATATAATATCTAAAAATAAATCCTATAGGCCCAATATACACAGCATTTAAACCAACTATAACGGAAATGTCATATATTAGGGGAACATCTAGCCTTAAAGTATATATTGCACAAGATTTTAACTTTCCACCTTCCATTTTCAAATTCCATATACATTTATACCAATGTAATTAAAACATATTGACCCCTTTCAATAGCCCCTTTTACACCAGGCTGATATAAATTGTTCTGTTCTCGGTCTGGACCAAACCGTGCTAAAATGTACCCATTTACATTTACAGTAAATTCAAGTGGTCTTCAAACAGTTCTGCAGTTGTAGTGTAAATGAAAAGCATTCTCGGCACGGTTATCTGTAGAACTCTTCTTGAAGAAGTTAAAATTAACCCTTGTAGCCACCGTAATGTAATCGAAAACATCTGGATGTAATCAACAATTTTACTTAATAATAATGAAATTCTGCAGGAAAAAGGTGAATGTCGCTTATGAGGCAATTGCACAGTAAAGCATTCTCGGAACGGTTCCAAGGTGGGCAAGAGTTGGAACGGTTCTCAGAACGCTCGACCGTTTACATTACGCAAAATTCATAGGTTCTCAGAATTGATAAATTTTGTAAAAGGGGTTAGTGTGAAATTTAACATGCAAATGAGGTCATTTCAACCAATCAAAACATGTAATGGAGAAGCGTGTTCTTGTTTACAGTTAATGTAAATGTAATGTAATAGACTTAATGTTCCCCTAATATTACATAATCATTTCATTTTTTTTAACAACAAATTAAATTGTACCAAACTGAAAGACTGTATGATGTTGATAAGTTTCTTCTGGCCGTAATATTACACTGGGAAAATTTTTCTGAAAAAAGAACAAAAATTAACATTTTGAATCCAAAAATTATTTTCTTTTGTCTCAATAAATGACCACCATAATTTGATAAGTAAACTTTAAGAATAATGTAGCAGATCAAGGGTGCAGATAAAAAAACAGGCTCAAAGTGCTTTTGGCCTCCACCAAGCCCATTTTATTTAAGTGTACTTACATGGTTCACAGCATCAGGGTAGCCCTGTGTTTCCAGAGCTAAGGCACCAAATCTTTTATAAACTGCTCCAGCTTTACCAAGAATATCATCAAAATAATAACTTGTATAAAACTGTAGACCTGGAGTAGTAGTATAACATTCCATATATCTACCAGAGACTGGATGTTCTACTCTTGAAACATGAAAAAAAATTCAAAAATCTGTTGACCATAAAGGCAACTGTTTTTTTTCAATGAGTCTAAGTAAGAAAAAGTTGTGTTATAATAGGCAGACATAGAAGCTTTCTATATGTAGAGATATATTGAATTGAAAGTGGAAATGAAATGAATGGAGTTTTACGTCCTACTCTTCTGCACCATGTGGGCTAATGAAGATGGGCAACGCCATGCAGGGTGTCATGAGGGAAATTTTGCAAGGGCAGCATTAGCCTGCTCTTTTTCGATTTCCAACTGTCGAGGGATCTTTAACTTGCACAGCCTGTAGCACACAGGGCCTCGGTTAATTGTCCCATTCGAACGACTAGACGCTTTTTTCATGTCAGCCCCTCTTACCTGCATTACTGACAGGGGGAAACCTTGTTGGAATTGAAAGTGGAAGTCAAAATACTAATAATAATCAATAATGTGTTGAGCTTCTCCTAGCTTAAAGATTTCAAGCAAAATTATGGTTTTTCAGTACGTTTTTAAAGTGCAATTTGCATATTATTAAGCAAATTTTATAATGAAATATTTTTTGATAAATTTAGACAACAATATTCTAACTAAATACCTGGCTGCTAACTCTAATTTTCCTGTTACATTGAGATTAAAATTATTGTCATATCCTATACCATTATTAACAGTATTTAATCTCTCTCCCATCTTAATACCTGATCTTAGATCCATTAAACTACCATCAACTTTCCTGATTTCACCTATGAAGACAATAAGCAATAACTCAAGTTGATGAATCTCAAGTTGACAAACTCACTTATGAGAGTGGCATGAGGTGTTCTGAAAAAAGTGAGCATTCCCTTTCTTACAAATGCCACTTTACTTTACATAGTAGGCTTGCACTTCAGTAAATAAGATTTTTAATTGGTCTTAAATCTAAATCAACTTCTAACATCGATTTCCGTGGATTGGAGAATTATTATAGGTCCTACCTGTGGGTATAGAACTATCATCTAAGGGAAGATAACTATCAGCATGAATGGTAACAACATGGTCATCTATCACTCCATTTGCCTGAAATTTAGGTATTGAGGTTTAAAATATATCAAAGAAAGAAAGAATAACAACTTAGGTTCACAAGAAACTTGGTCCATGGACAAACCTCCTAGCATTGATCTTTTCCTGATTATTCATTTGCAATTGACAGCTGGAAAAAAGGAGATTTGGGGAAAGGTAACCCATTCAAGTTCACCAAACTTTCACACGCTGAACAAGATTAGACATTTTTTTTATCCTTATCGAGCAAATGACGTCAAATTCTAATGCTCTCTCTAATAGATTGCGCTAAGGCCCTTTCTCACACGGATACAACCGAAGAATAATTCACTTACATGACCAGCAAGATTAAAATATGTATGATTGGTAAGATTTATTGGTGTAGCTTTAGTTGTAGTTGCTTTATAGTGAAGGGATAATTTATTCTCATCATCTAATTCATAATCAACATTAATAGTTACTTCCCCTGGATAGTTCTCCTCTCCGTCTGCACTAACATAAGATAATGATAGAACATTGCCTTTAATCTCAGATTTCCATATCACCTGACAATATATAATAGATAATCAGTATCAGTAAAAATGTATATGGAATAGCAGTCTCAAAATAGTACTGTTAGTCTAAGAATGTCTTTGCGTTTATAAAAATATAAGCATAAGCACACATTATGTCTTCGAAATTTCTTTTTATAGAGGACAATTTTCAGCCAAAATTTGTGACTTTTTTGGGTTGAAATTTCTAGGAGAGAAATGTGTTTCTTTTCAATTTAAACTTACAAAAGATTATGTTTTTATCAACGCAAAGATATTGTAAGACTATCAGTGCTATTTTTAGGATGATATTCTAATACTCTAAAAAAAATATGGAAAAAAATTTCAAAAACTTAATTTACTCAGACAATAATAAAAAATAGACCAAACAATAGGTGAACAAAAGGTGTATTCAGTTGATAAACTGGTCTAATGCTTCTTGAAACACATAATTTGTTCATGTCACAATATCCCACTGTTGGAAAGGGAAGAAATTTGATTGGCTGGCGATGTCATCAAACAGATGAATGTTCAATGTATTAAAGGACTAAATTAAATTTAAAAGCCAATAAAAAACGGAATTAAAGTCTGGTCTAATTTTAATTAAATTGTACATTTTACAATTCACTTGCAATACCTTTCAAAAATTATACGATGCTACAGTAGCTTACCTTATCAAATCCTATTTTACCACCATGTAAAGAATTGGGTCCATTGTTGATAAACAAAGAGTATTTCTTTCCATCTAATTCAAACTTTCCATTAGCTATTCTATTAGCCACTCTACCAATTATAGCTCCCATGTATGGACTTCGCTTTTCATATCCTAAAATATATTAAGAAGAAATATCTTATTTTGCAAAATATCAACTAGAACTTCTGATAGAATGTAGTCATTATCTGGCAGTATTAGAAAATCAGTACCGTAGTATCTTGAATTTTTGTGTGCTTTTTGGCTTAAATGAAAACATGATTTTGAAGATTTTCTTTAAAAAAAAAGGAACCACAAACTGTCTTTGATACAGATACAAAGGCTGGGATACCTGTTAATATCATGCCTTCTAAAATGTGAAATATTCTGAATATATTCACCTTCCATATCATCAAATCCAAGGCAAATATCTTCAGTTTTACCAATTTTATCAGGCACCAATATTTCGGTTATAATACCACCATAATTTAATATCTTTATTTCAAGTCCATTATTATTTCTTAAGGTATACCTAAATTAAATATATGTTTGAAAATTATCAAACACTTTCTTTTTTATGCAAGGGGATGCTTCCCATTTCTCCTTTCATCAGGCACTTGATCAAGTTCTTCTGTAATTTCAGAATGACTTCAGACATGAAATGGATTTCCCTACTACATAACTTGTAAGCTTATCTAATACATACACAATAATTCTATAAAACACCTTTGAAATTTCTCAAAGAATAATTAAATCATGATAATAATAATCGTTTTCTTCTAGAAATAAGGTAATTGCAATCCATTCTTTTAGTGTAGCCAAAAGGATTGTAGGAAAGAAAGAATTTTATAGACACCCATATGATTTTGCAAATTGTGGTATAACAGAAGAAAAAATTATAAAAGAAGAAAAGTATGAAACATGAGACAACATGAAATTTAAAACCTTTTAACAGTGTCCCCATTGTTTGTTTGTCCAAAGGCCGTTACGTCCTCAGTGACAGGCATAGTTGCTAAACTCAAGTCCTTGAGATATGCACGGAAGTTGTGTCCCTTAGAAATCTGAACTTGTCTAGTGTACGAGTAATGTCTCGACATGCCAAAAGTTTGTTTATGGATATCAAGAGTCAAATATGAATACAAAGGTGAAACAGAGAATTCCATTCATTTTCCATGTCAACATAATAATCTGACTTTAAATCAAGAAAGTATAATCTATCAGTGAAAATATTTGGAACGAGTCTGTAATTTATTGCCACCGACTCTCTGAATCGACTGAAAGTTATCCACCAATCGAATGCACTTATTACGATCGTAGCGTCCTCTTGTGGCACTAATGCTTTACATTATCCATTTTCTACAAAGAGCAACATGGCGGCGTCAGGTTATGAGGGGCACATGTCTAAAAGATTGAAAACTGACGAACATGGATTTCATGGATATGGTCAAAGGGTATGAAATTTTAAATGATGGATTATTCAATTGTTTCACTGTAAATGCGTGGCTTTCAACAAGATACAACTATTATGTTGTAGAAAATAGATAACTTGTGAGTCCTTGATTGGGCTTGGGCCTGGGGCTGGAGTTGAGTCTGAGAGTTGAATGAGACTTATGATTAGGCCTATCATTTTTTGAAATATTTGTTTAAATCGGGCTACTAATACTAAGAGTTTTTATATTCTAATGAAACTTTATGTGCCTAGTAACTGTATCTGTCTATGAATGAATAGCATTGTTATCACTTTATAACTTTTTCTAGGATAAATTTGATGACCCCCACAAGCCACCACCATCAGCAGTTGTACATGTACGAGGTTTATCTGATGCTGCTATTGAAGGAGACTTGGTTGAAGCAGTACAGCATTTTGGTGGAGTGAGGTAAAGATATTTGTCACATAACATCAAAATTGAAAGTACCTGTACTATTACTGTGTATTAAAGAAGTACTCTTCATATATTGATAAGTTAAGTTTGTTTCCAGAAAAGAGACTATTTAAAGATTTGCTTTCTTTTTCAGAGATGTCATTATGATGCCAAGGAAAAGACAGGCTCTGATTGAGTTTGAGGTAAGAATATTTTCAGACTTAAGTAGGCTACTTTTTTGTCAATTCATGGTACCGGTACCGTACTTGTTAGCTTAACTAAGGGAACAATTAAATTAGTTAAAAAGATATTGAAAAATATAGATGGAATGAATTAAATTCCAAATTTTTATTTCAGGATGCAATGTGTGCCAGAAATTGTGTGGAATATTCACAAGTAAGTTTATTTATGTGTGTTAGTCTTTCTTTGTTGTGGATTTGAAGATTATTTGATTTTGAGGATTTAAGTGCTTTAAAATCCACAAAGGTAAAAATAATGAAGTCAAAGAAAGAAACATTGACAGCTGTTGGCTATATGTAATCAATGAAGCTTTAAACCATATGGTTTTAATAATCCTTTATAAGCAGACAGCATATTCAACAGTGTTTTAAATATCAATAAACCAGTATAATTGATTTTCTCTAGAATAAAGTACTGTATTATTGAGTTTTTTACCCTAAAAAATTACACATTAGAAGTGAAATTTTTTTTTAGCTCTTGCTTATCAACTTCGCCTTCTTTCAACCTCAATTTAACAGAAATGAACAAACTGTGATTTAAGTCTCTTCATTCAGTCTGTAAAAGCAATATTCCACCTCATAGATTCTTTATATGGTCGTTTTTAACTCAAATTTGAAATTTTCTTTTCAGACCTCACCAATTAATGTTGCTGGTAGTGCAGCATTCTTTAATTATTCTACAAGTCAAAAGATTCAAAGACCTGGGTAGGTTCTATATAGACCAATATATCATACTGAATCCCATATCTATTACTCGCACTAGAATTTTGTATTTATTCTTTATAATAATAGCAATAAAACGCTTCATAATTATCTACTCTTAAAGATTCAAAAGCTCAGGATATATTGTGCATGGCTTCCAAATAGTAATTCTAATAGAACATTTTCTTAATGTGTTATCAGTTTAGGATTTATTTTTGCAGAGATCCAGAAGACAGTCAACAAGCCAATCATATTTTATTATTTACGGTTTTAAATCCTCAATATCCCATTACAGTGGTAAGTTTATACATACTCTCCTCTGAACCTGTTCAACAGTTGAATGTGACTGTAATGGAATAATACAAAATGGCTTCTTAATGAAGGTGGTCTCTAAGAGTAGTATTGGATCAGAATAAACACGAGCAGCATTATTCTGTTAGTTAACTTTTTTGAAAAGTTTTAACAGACCATTTTGCTTCTATTGTAGGATGTAATGCACACTATTTGTAGTTCCTATGGTCAAGTATTGAGAATTGTTATCTTCAAGAAGAATGGTGTTCAGACTATGGTTGAGTATCCTTTAAAAGTGAAATTTACAGTATTTCTACAATATTAGCTGGATTTACAATTACGCTTTTCAACATAACAATATTCAATCTTTTCTTTCTGTTAAACAATATTTAATCTTTATTTGCTATCCAAAATTATGATTCTTCATGTTTGTTCCTGGTTGCCAAACTTGAAATTTTCTTAGTACATTTCTTTAACATAATGTAAAGATTTGATAATGTAGATTCTGCTAAAAGAGCTAAAGCCTCCCTGAATGGAGCTGATGTCTATTCTGGTTGTTGTACTTTGAAAATAGAATATGCAAAGGTAATGCTCATTTTATGATGTTTTTTAAAAGAACTGAAACTGTATTGAAATGATTATATTTTTTGTTATCAGCTTGCTGAAGTGCCTTGAAAGTTTATTCTAATATCCAATATTGAATAGTTTTTTAAAATTTAATTAAAACTTATTTAAACAGCTTTTTATATGATAGTTGAGTAAGCTTTTTTTTTAATGTTATGTTTTAGCCGACCAGACTGAATGTTGTGAGAAATGACACTGAAAGCTGGGATTATACTCAGCCAAACTTAGGTAAGCATGATAAAATTTAATCACTAAAAATAATTCTCAGTAAGATTTTGAAATAGAGATATGGTTCCCCTTATTTTCCTGCTTCTTAATGAATTTTTCAAAATATTGAAATAATGAATTACATTTATTCCATAAACTTTACCAAGCGGAAATGATGTTATTAGGCGTGTTTCCTAATAATCTTAACATCAGTTTTAAGCAAGTCGTTGACTGCTATTTATAAAGGTGTAACAATGAAAATACATTTTGTAGTCTAGTTAATGCTGACAAACATGGCATTTGGTTGTCGTCGACAACATATTCAGTTCGGCAGTGGAGGCTCACAATAAGCTTATACTGACCACAACTTTGGTAGTTCAAACTGACTACTGTCAAACATAATTTGTTAGAACAATATTCTGGTTGTCGTTGACTACCCTGAAATGTTTTAACAGGCAATATCTATATAACATCTTCTGAAATTGCAATAAATTTTGCCTTTTGTCATGTACACAATTTTTTCTCTAAACCCACAGGCTTTTTTCTTTCAAACTGAATTCTTTCTGGTGCCTGTACCTTGATATAAATGAATTAAATGAAGGAACTCTTGAAATATTTACTTGACCAGCTAACATATCACTTTGAAGGATTGAAATTCTTTTTTCTCAAGTGACTGCTCAAGTTTCAAACTGCTTCTGTAATTGAAGACATAGGACATTTCAACTGGTAGGTGAATTGACATTTTAAATTGGTAAGGCAAATAAATTGAAGCTTATATCTCTTAAAGCTTGAAATTGTCATTGCAGATGGGCAAACGTGTATTTTTGAATTTCAGAAGCTGAAGAGAATAAGGTACAAGGAGATGAACCCAATTGTAGTTCTGATTCAGAGGAAAGGGTTTTACCATCTTGTTCATTTCAGACTTTAGATAAAGAGTCGACACATTGTTCCTCAAATTCAACCAATGTCAAAAGTCAAATTATAGGTGGTGAAATAGAAACTTGTGACACGACTAAACCATTGTTAAAAACTATCAAAACTTATCCCAAAAGTGCACCCATCACCCAATCTTTTGCAGATTTCCTAAATGTTGCTTGTACCACTGATCTGTTTGTGAAAACAGGAAATGAGTACTTGATCCCAGACAACTGTGTAAATTTAGAACCACCTGTAACTAACCCAGAAGTATGGGAACTACTGGATGCTAGGACACAAAGTCGTGATAAAGATATTAGCATTATTCAGAGACAAATTTCAACGGGACTTCTTCCGATTGTAAAAGTTGCTGAATATTTGGAAAGCAACAAGTTTGAGGTGGAAACTGCTAAAAAATTAGTATCTGACTCGATCACCATTTTATGTCAAGCTCAGTATTCTTTATCAGTTAAAAGACGACACCTAATTCGCCCAGCAATAGGTAAACGATACACTAGCATATGCTCCATGAATAATGCTGCAACACCTATCACCACCTTGCTCTTTGGAAATGAGGTTGGTGAAGAAATGAAGAAACATGACGCATCTAGTTATCATGGAAATAAATTTAAACCAAAGCGTGGACGAGGCAAGAAATTTTAAGATTCAACTTTTCTTGTGCTCAGCTCTGATTAAAATATCGTCTAATTTTCTAGTTAATTAAATTCTTGAAACAGTCTTTGTTATGATTTTGTAATTTCACCTCCTCCCCTTCTGATTTTGATTAGTTATTTTGAACGAAAAGCATCTCATATCTTTGGCTTACTGACTTTCCATGGATAAAAAGGACATGCTGAGGAATGCTTGTCTACTTGCATTCCCTGTGTCTATTTTAAAAAATTTTAAAAATTCTGTTCAATGCTGTCTCAGTGACAGTTTGCCATTCCACTTGGAACTCTTAATAGGTTTTACTGAACTACATCATTTCTGTTTGGTAAATTAAACATTGAAAATCCCCTATGTATTCCCCATTCTTGCCATATCTCTATTTCAAAATCGTTCAAATATTTATCGAAATTTTTCTGAAAATGTTATACATTCAAATTATATACATTTGTACATTTCCTTATAATATATTAATAAACCAATACTAGTACACCATTCAAATCTCTTCAACAGAATTAGTATATTATGATATTATATATTGATCCCACAAATTTAGATTTAACAAGAAAACAAATTTGATATAATTTGCATGTATCAATGAAATAATTTATTCAGTTTAATTTGCATGATTCTCAAATGATTTACATATTCATTTTCACAATAAAATTATTTATATAACTGTACAATTGATATATTGGGCATATTTTAACAGTGAAAAATATTTTGTTATTGCATTTTCACAATTATACAATTTTTTCCATATTTTTAGCTTTGAAGTTCGCCAAGATATTTTCTATTGTTTATTATCACTTAAGATTTAAGTTAACTGCATGTACAGAAGCTTTAGGTTCCTATATACATTTGTTTTAATATCAACTATGGATTCTTTCTTACATGGAGCAGAGACACATTCCTTGCTTATGGTAGAGACACATTCCTTGCTTATGGTAGAGACACATTCCTTGCTTATGGCAAAGACACAATCCATGATAAGGCCTAGTGGTCAAGATACATTCCATCCTTATTGCAGATCATTCAGTAAATCATTTACATTCCAAATGATACATTTATATTACCTTCATATGTTATTGTACTGTAGATATTGACTTCTGTTTATACTTCTTAGCCACTTTAAACTGAATTGTATATTTATGTCTGAGAACTATTCATTTGTTTAAAGGTATTTATCCATTTGATTGTTCCTCATTTAAACAATAAGGTACAAATGTGCAGCAAAGGCTGATTTCACCTGTTCTACAAGATTTCCCTTTACAGTTGTTTTCTCTACAATACACACTCTTTCAAATATGCCGGCTATATTACCAGTGATGTATAATAGACCAATTTCAAAACAAAAGACATCTGTAGAGGTGAGAACACTTGAGCATAAACTTAGGTCTTACCTTCACTTTAACAGCAATGCTTGTAATTTGTTGATTGTAATTTGACAATTGTATTTACCTTCAATGTTATACATTCTTGTACAAAATGCTCACATATTTAAGAATAGAAAATATATTAACTACAGGTAACATTTTTTCATTACAATTCTTTATTTCTGAATTTGACAAAATAAAACATTGCCAATATGTTACAATGAAGGCTAATAACTGCTCATTACTAATTAATGTACATATTGTTTTCATAGTCATGTATGTATTATTTAACAAATTGATATATAAAAAAAACACAATACAGAATACTGTATATACAAATTTACAGAAGAAAATAGTCAAGATATCCAGAAATATTGACGGTCAGATTGAATGAGATAGTGCTGAATTTTGTCTATCAAATTAAATGTACTTATATACACCAGCAGAACCAAGTTGATTATTGAACAACTATACAGTTTGGAACCAGATATATCATCAACAGAACCAATAACAAGATGTCTATTTCAGAAGTACCTTTTTGCTTGCTACAGAACTTCATAAACATTGATAGAATATGTTAAACTGCATTTCCAATACCATACCATCAATATTCAACGGTTTAAGCTAGACAATGCCTTCAGAAGATGTTCAACATACAAACCAAACTGCAAACCAGATTCAATGAAAAAATACCATAGCAAACTAGTAAAATGAATTGACAAATCTTACAAGAAGATGATAAATGTGCAAAATAACAGCTTTAAACAATTACATATAAGGAGTACAAATTTATAAAACCGACAAAAAAAAAACCACAAACAAATCTACACAAACTAATAACTCCATGTTTGGTTGTTATTTAGCAGGCTGTATGAATCCTGCAGTGGACCTATGCTGCCACCTGGTGAAGAGCAGACAACAAGGAAAGATAATCTGTGTGTACTGATTGGTGTATGGAATAAGTTATTATGGTCTGATTTATTTTTCATAATTATTATATATTGTTATATACTGTATCAATTTGATGATGTTATTATTGTATTTGTAAAGTTTTGTATACTGTTGGGTTTCTATTCATAATATTTTGCCTTTTGTTAGTAGCCGAAGGCTTAGGAGTCATGTCCCTTGAAATGCATTGATCTGGCCATCATATTGATTAAAGATGTGTGATATAAAATTGTGTTTTTCAGGAAAGGAACACAGTGGAGGTCACTCTAGAGGTCAACCCTTGTTACAAGAACCACGTTATGGTAGTCAACCTGCTCCATATAGTGAGTAAATGTTAATTATTGTCTTAAATGATGTCATCTAAATAATTTTTCAGCTGTTGGAGCTTCATTTCATCTATCCATAGAACTTCACAGAAATATATTTTCCTGTACTCTTTTGATTGAACTAAAAAGTTCTAAATAATTATTCCTATCAAGCTTATAACTATTGAAGATGTACTTATATGTGTCTCCTGTTTTGTAGATGGTCCAGCTGATGTTGCTGGAGGTGGTGGTGGTGGTGGTGGAGCTGCTGCACATGGTGGTGCAGGCTATGGTGGTCGTGGTGGTGGAGGAGGTGGTTATGACCAAGGTGGTTATTATGACCATGGACAAAATGAAGGGTTTGATACCTATAATGGACCTCCATCTGGTCCACCTCGTGGTGGACCTGGTGGTCCTCCTCCAGCAAGATATGGTGGTCCTCCAGAAAGATATGGTGGTCCTCCTGGTCCACCCAAGCATAGAGGTGGTTATGATGTAAGTCTTCATTTATTTTGGAAAGACATTGTATTCTACTGATATTAATGATATAGCATAAAAACCCATGTATACATGAAGGCTTATTTTTATTGATCCTTCTTGAATCTTTGTGAGATTTAAAATTTTTGATCTAAAATTGAGTTTGATTTTTTGTGTTCTTAATTTATAGGATAGAGGTCCTGGAGGTTATGGTCCTCCTCCACCAAGGAACTTCCAACAGTATGATCAGGGTCCACAAGGACCTCCATCTAATTATAATGGTGGTTCAGTTGTCATGGTGTATGGATTGAGTAACAAGATGAATTGTGACAAAGTTTTTAATCTCTTCTGTTTGTATGGTAATGTTATTAGGGTAAGTAAGGTAGTAAATCCTCTTCATGGCAAGTGTGTGGTCCATTAAAAACTCATTGGATCACAATAGCTGTAGCCTACTTAATTAGAGCTGTGCAAGTTGCTAGGCTTTGTAGGGGAAATCGTGGCTTCTGGAGTAAGATGTCTGAAACTTATCCTCTTACAATTACTCATTCAAGTTAACCATTTGAATGGTCAAAGATTTTCACAAAATGACCATTAGGTTAGAGATTAAGGACCGCCAGTTATAAAAAGATGTGGTATTTAATGACTAATTTATGGTATTTGAAAGTTTATCAGTAGACGAAATAAATGGGTAAACTTTAAACTTATTTTTACAGGTAAAGTTCTTGAAGAGTAAGGAAGGATCTGCTATGGTACAGATGGGTGAACCAGTTTCTGTTGAAAGAGTAATGGCCAATTTACATGGAACTGTGTTCTTTGATAACAAACTACAATTGACGTAAGTTTCAATATACGCAATAAATGCCATATATATAAATGTTCTATCAAACATAGCATATATTTTACGGCTTTGAAAGTAAAATAATAAAGGAGACTTGTTTAATTACTCAAAATATGTCCTTAAAGTAACCTTTTATCAGGCATGATTTCCAGTTCTTTGACCACCAGCCCTCATACTTCTTATCATGAAAATTTAGGATTTAGAAGGTGATTACTAAGTTTTGATTTGATCTTATTTTCAGCCATTCCAAACAAGCTTTTCTACAGGATGTTAGAACTCCTCATGAGTTAGAAGATGGTACACCATCATTTAAAGATTTTATGGGATCACGAAACAATAGATTTACTAATCCTGAGGCTGCCCAGAAGAACAATATCCTTTAATGAAATATTATATAGTTAAAAATTTGATATAGACTTTGATACAGTGACTTTTGAAAAATTAATCAAATTGGCTTAATACAAACACCAAATTTACATTTTTCTTATAGTAGCTAACCCATCTATCAAGTCAGTTTGGTGAAAGTAGTTTGTAGTGTAGGCAAGTTATAAATTTTCTCTTTAAATAGTATTGTACCTTTGAATTTATTTTATGCTGATTTACCCCTTTTTTTCCCTAACTCCTTTTTGTACGAATTCATGGACCATCGAAAGTGCTACATTATTTTAATGCACCACCCGGGTTAACTGAAGAAGAGATTAATGAAATGTTTACCAGTAAAGATTTAAAGAAACCAACTACAGTCAAAATATTCCCTGCTAAGTGTAAGTTGAATTTTCCTTCAATTGATGGAAACTCAATTATTTTTTGTTTACACATGAAAAATTATAAATTAAGAAGGTTGAGACTACAAATAAGTGATGTCAACAATCTGTGGGAAAACTTCAGTAACTCTTCGCTTTATTTACATAGGGCATCGTGCTATAACTTCAAATTAAACTAGTTATACCACAGCTAAGTGTCACTCACTCGATTATACAACAAAAAGTTTAGAGCAAATTTATTAATAAAATAATATTTTATAAGTGTATTTTGTTTTATAGCTGAAAGAAGCTCTACTGGTTTGATAGAATTTGAGAATAAAGGGGAGGCTACTGAAGGTCTAGTTGTATGTAATCATACTTCATTACCTAATCCTGTTGGTAAGTTGTTTGTCATATTTTATACTCTAAAAAAAAGGTTTCACTGTATTTGGAAATTTTATATAGTTTTTATATGATGTAAGTTTGAAATTTACATCCCATTTTCTACCCAGAGAACATATTTTAGAGTTCAATGAGGGAATTTTTGTTACAATGCAGCTGGCCTTTTGTCTTTTGTCCTGGTCTTTTACCATTTTTGTCTGTAGAGGTATTTATTTATTTATGCACATTCTGGTTAAATGAACCATTCGAATGCCTTCATGCTCAATGAAGACAGTAATCAAACGTGTCAATTTCCTCAACTCACAGTACACAATTAAATACAAATCTTTTTCTTTTATTTTCAGAAGGAAAAGGTCCATATATATTCAAGTTGTGTTTCTCTTCCACACCTATTTCTGGTAAAGAATAAGCATCCAACTTTTTTCAACCCCCTTTCATTAGATCTTGTGCTTATATCATCCAATCAAAATCAATGTTCAGTCATATTTTACACCTTGTTAGTATTGTCATGTTTTTATCATTGAACTTGTGATAACATACATTACTTTGATTCCTTGGTTTGTGCTTTTGTGAATAATCAACTCATTCACTGATGACATCTGAAAAGCTGAAAGATGCCCTCAGGATCATGCACCTTTGTAAATTGTAAAGAGAATCAGACTGTAATTTTAAGGTGCATCTTTCAGAAATTTTAAAACCATGAATTTATTGTCCAACATCTTTCAAATTTTATGTATGTTATTATAGTAATATTTTAGTGTATTTTATCTAGTGTAAAACTTGTCTTTAAGAATGTATATAGATCATACTGGATGTTGTAAGGTCAAGTTTATGAAATAAATGGCTTCTAGTACTAATACATTACATGTCTTGTTCATTAAAAAAGCACCCATGCTTGAATGAGTTATTGCTACCCCTCAATCTGATAAAACTGCAGATGCAGTTGTTTGTTTCACGATTTTGCTGGTTTCTTTACTCAGCATCAATGATCTGACAAATTCTTCTTGTGTCATAGATTATTTGTTATTATGACTTACCAAAATCTTTTGCTAATAGTAGCTTCTGACATGATTACAATTTCGTCAGATCAGGAAACAAAAACAACCTAGATTTGCAATATCATCATTAAAAAAAAAAGAAATGGGTGTTTTACGTCCTACTTTTCTACACCGTATTAGTCACTATTTCGGGATTGAACACTGGATCTTCAGGTTAGCTAGTATATGTCTCTCTCACTCGACTACCTTTAATCTTAAATATAACTTGAAGAGAATATAGTAAAATTGAACCATTATGTGAATAGTAGTTGGTTCCAAAATCCCTTTCTCAGACTTTCAAACAGAGAAAAAACGAACACAACCGGGATATGTCTAATACAACAGTTTTAATATCAAGAAATACTATAGCAATGGTATCAACGATGAACAATGTATTGCCACACTTCTAAATGCATTAGCTCGACAACTACTGAGAGATTTCAGATTGCCAACGTCAGCACAATTATCGGCATTGTTGTATAATATTACTAGTCACTTTTATCACAAAATATCACAGAGTTTGAATATCTTCCATAAATAAGTCCATATTATTATCGACGATTTAAATCCAAGCACTATCAATGCTCTAAATAAATGTCCGTTTCATTCTTGGACTACACAATAAGATCATTAAAACAGCGACCTCATATGTGATGCTGAACCAAACGCCGACAATGCCATGGTCTGTAGTTGTTTCTCTCTTTGAAGCTGTTGTTCTCTTCTATATTCAACTGTAAAAGATACATGAAGTTAGTTATATTTTCCTTTGTGAAGGATAAATTTTTATAAAGCTCATATCTAACATGTCCGTCCGATTACATTTCGTAAACGCCCTAGAATCTAAAAGCAAAATAGATATACATTTAATAAATTCACTTTCGAATTTCAGCGCTTTTCGATTCGTCAAGTGCTCTTGATTTTGCCTATATACGCCAAAATTGTCGTATGGACGTGATATAGACTCAATTTTTGATCTGATTTTAATGCAGTTTGATATGCTTAATCTAAATATGTATAATGAGATCTTGTGTGATTTCAACTTCAATTTTTTTTATAACCGATTTATGAGTTATTGTCCTTGTCATAGCCAAAATGCAACAAAATTTACTTTTAATTTAATTTACTATAATTTTATCGCTTTGGCTGCAGTGACATTTTCTACCGAGTGGACGTATAGCCTTTTGGGTGACCGCTCATTAAAAAATTGATCCCCTTTCCCTGAAGCAAACTATATACGCCAAAAGCTGCAACTTATTAAGGTTGAATTTGAATAAGTATGAAATTTGCTCTAACAATTTTATTCAGTGATTGAATTACACATTATACAATTGAACGATCACTGGTGGTTCTTCAAATATTTAGACAATTTCTTCTAACGGAATCGGAAAAAAGAAAAACAAATAATTCAGTATTGAGTAAAATTGTGTTTATTTATTCTTCTGTTGCCCCTAGTGACCAATCAATATTAACTATTAGCCAGTGGAATATTAAAAGAAAACAGCCGTAATGTAACTGAATGATTCTAGATTGATTTATTGATAATGGTTCTAATTAACTAATCTATCAATATCTTTATCATCTAAATTTTGAGTTGGTCCCATTATTGGACCCATTGAAGACACATCTGTCTGATCCATTATTGGACCATTTGTTTTGACTCATTGTAGATATACAAATAGCAATTGGAGTATTGGACCTATTATGAATTAATGGATATACCGGTGACACATCTATCTATCTTGCGGAAGGGAGTTACATAGGCATCAGCCTGTTCTTTAATCCCTTTTCTATACGAAATAAAATACTGTTTATTGAATCATTTGTTTTGACTTATTGTAGATAACAATTGGACCCATCATAGATATAACCGATGACACATCGATCTATTCTGTTATCGGACCATTTGACACTTTATATACCGATGACACTGCTGTTCTATTATTGGATCATTAGAGAAACACTGTAGATATACAGATGACACTGCTATCTGTTCCATTATTGGAACATCGGCCCCATTATAGATATATGATACTGCTGTCTGTTCCAATATTGGACTATTTGGACCCTCTTATAGATAAACCGATGACACACCTATCTGTTACGATATTGGACAATTGGCCCCATTATAGTTATACATAATTATGATACTTCTGTGTGTTGCATTATTGGACCATTGGACCCAATATAGATACCTCAATATGTCTCTTTATTGGACCCTTTATAGATGTACCAGTGATACATCATTTATCTGTTCAATTATTGAACATTGGACCCAATATAGGTATATCAATGGCACTGCAACTGTTATCTGTTACATTATTGAACTACTTCGGCCCATTATAGATATACCAATGATACATCCATATGTTCCTTTATTGGACAATTGAACCCATTATAGATATACCAATGATACATCTATATGTTCCTTTATTGGACAATTGAACCCATTATAGATATACCAATGATACATCTACATGTTCCTTTATTGGACAATTGAACCCATTATAGATATACCAATGATACATCTATATGTTCCTTAATTGGACAATTGGACCCATTATAGATATACCAATGATACATCTATATGTTCCTTTATTTGGACAATTGAACCCATTATAGATATACCAATGATACATCTATATGTTCCTTAATTGGACAATTGGACCCATTATAGATATACCAATGATACATCTATATGTTCCTTTATTGGACTATTGGACCCATTATAGATATACCAATGATACATCTATATGTTCCTTTATTGGACAACTGGACCCATTATAGATATAACAATGATACATCTATATGTTCCTTTATTGGACTATTGGACCCATTATAGATATACCAATGATACATCTATATGTTCCTTTATTGGACAATTGGACCCATTGTAGATATACCAATGATACATCTATATGTTCCTTTATTGGACAACTGGACCCATTATAGATATACCAATGATACATCTATATGTTCCTTTATTGGACTATTGGACCCATTATAGATATACCAATGATACATCTATATGTTCCTTTATTGGACTATTGGACCCATTATAGATATACCAATGATACATCTATATGTTCCTTTATTGGACTATTGGACCCATTATAGATATAACAATGATACATCTATATGTTCCTTTATTGGACTATTGGACCCATTACAGATATACTGATGGCAATTATATCTGTTCCATTATTGGACCAATTATAACCAATAGATAGCGAAGACATATCGATATACATATTACACTATCTGTTTCATTTTCGGATCTTAGAACCTCTGCAGCAGGAGAATATTCCAATATACCCCGTCCCCGGAAACTGAAAGAACTGGTACGTCCTCTTTTCTGTTGGAGGGAGGGAGGGGCACTACGTTAGCCTGCGTACTTTTAGCATACTAAGGCAACGAAAATCAATATCCATGCAATCCCTTTAAGCGGTTCTTGTAAAGTCGTAAATTCGATTTTCATTGAATATAAAATAAGATAGTTGATTGATTATATTCACTCTATTGCCTGTATCATAATAGCCTATTATTTACAATCTAATTAAAACCTATAGTCACCTTGTATCATTATTAAATACGCTTTCCTTGAAATCACTTTAACTTCTATTGAATTCTGTCTACCTGTAGCAAATAGCTTCATTAAGGACATGATAATTCAATTTTCTCCACATAATAGAGGCATATAATTCTAAAGAATGGTCCTGGTATAGATAATCTAAGACTATTAATTCTGTACATGTTACGTTTTAGAAAAACTATCCTAGAATTGTCCTAACAAATAAAGCTAACAATTCTAATTTTGATATACGCAAATTACTCTTACTGAAATAACATTCGTGCTACTGTAAATTCAGCCTACTCTCTGAACATAATGTACAAAGTTTCGTAGTCAAAGATTTTTTCATGCTAAATGTTTCATGTTAAACTGTCGTTCGCAATAAAAATAAAAAATTGGCGAAGTTATGGCCATTTTACTTCGGGGTGGGGTTAGGCAGTCCGCCTATGCTGGTTGGGGGTTAGACCAAAACTTTCACAGGCTGCCGTTCGAAAAGACCCTAAAGAAATTATCATGGCAAGAGAGTAGTCCTTTCATTCCATTTCTGTTAAAGGGATAGTTCAGTTTATACGAAAAAGCTATGGAAATTCACTTAATCTGTATCAATCACAGAATGCGTAATTTTGTTCCACTGATACTGCGAATTTTTCGCAGAAATTAACATTAGAAACCCGCAAATCGGAATAAAAATCAGCTCCAAAAACGATCTCTTTAACTAACTATCTTCAAAATCTTGTTTTGCTACATCATTATGATAAATACTTCAGTGCCATAAAATACCTACTTCAGTTTAATTGTATGACATTAAAAGGTAAAAATTCGATACATAGATGATGGTCCAGAACAATAGATGTTCGACATTTATATTGACCGAGTTTCTTTCACAAAACCAATTCATATACTGAAAAATTTATAATCAGATGACATTTGTAGAGTCCGTTTTCCTGATAGATATAATGGAAAAGAAGAGATATTTCCTATGGAAGATCAAGGGTTGAAATCTTGCCATTATCCCCCTTATCTTAGGACTGGCAATTAGCAGTCGTCATAAACAAACGCCCATGTAAACAAATTGGCCGACTATACCAGCAACTGCGATCAACTGTCTGTTTAAAGATCCTGCCACTAGCTTCACGACGAGATCATGTTTTTAGTAGAAAGTAGTGCATAAGTAACCATCAGACACCACTATTTTTTAGTTGCTAGTGTCGATTACGTTCAGCGCTTGATCACTTTCTTTCATATTTATGTTTCCGGTTCATAGCAGTCATTGAATATTCAATAGCTTAAGCCTTTTTTCCGCTATACGCAGGCGTATACGAATCTATATGCGTGTGTGCGATCTGTAGTACGCGACATACCAACTACACGTGTACGTTATTAACCACGCGTAAAGACATAATCCAGTCAATGAATGGAGTACCTTGACGTAATTAATTTGTGCAATTTTAACTACACGTGTACGTTATTAACCACGCGTAAAGACATAATCCAGTCAATGAATGGAGTACCTTGACGTAATTAATTTGTGCAATTTTAAGATCCAAACAGCATCATTGAGCGCAAAAAATTGCTCAATTTTCTATCAGTCCGCGGTACGTGAAGGCGTGTGCGTATACGCAATACGGAACGGAGTTGTTTTAACTAAAGATATAAGGAGCTATTTTTTCACACTTACGGATACGTACTACGCTTGCGCAACTTCGGACAAAATCAGTCTTGGCCTTGTCAAACAGACAGATTGTGATGCAGTTTAACACTTAAATACGTTACTTACCGGCTAAAATTATCATCCTGATACCCCAGGCCAAACTCCAAAACCAGCCAACTAATAAAAACGTAATGGTAAATAATTGGGCAAATCCGACCCACACATTAACACATATTGTCACTATCACATGATCATCTTTACTGTTTACTCTCGGTCTACCACAGCATAATATAGCTACACCGCTTAACATTGTACCTGAAATACAAACGTAGTATGATTTATATGTAGGATATAGAAACATCACTTCTATGAACTACAGGATGTAGCTATAACAGTTACTATGATCTCCAGGATAAAGCTATATCACTTGTCAAGACGATCTTCGGATGTTAATCTATAGGATTAAGTTACATCATTTACTATGATCTACAGGATATCTACGCCACTTACCATGATCTACAGGATCTAGCTACATCACTTTCCTAGATGATATACATGATATAGATACAAGATCTACAAGATGATCTACTATAGATGTCACTTACCTAGATCTACAGAATATAGTCACGCCATTTGCCATGATCTACATTCTACACTATCTTGCAGCGCCATCCTATTATTATTATCTGCAGGATGAATTTACAAGATGATGTTATATCACTTACCATAATCTACATTCAGCTAAACCACTTACCGTGATCTACATTCTACACTAACTTGCAGCGCCATCCTATTGTTATTATCTGCAGGATGAATTTACAAGATGATGTTATATCACTTACCATAATCTACATTCAGCTAAACCACTTACCGTGATCTACATTCTACACTATCTTGCAGCGCCATCCTATTATTATTATCTGCAGGATGAATTTACAAGATGATGTTATATCACTTACCATAATCTACATTCAGCTACACCATCGTGATCTGCAAGATGTTGCTACATCATTACCAGATCTACGAGATGTAGTTACACCACTTACCTTGATCTACATGAAACACAACTTACTGTTATTAACAGAGTCTAGCTTTGCAATTTTTTAGGGGACTTTCCATTCAAAATATGTTGGTACTAAGCGATTATAATCAATGGGTGCTTACCTGATCCAGGAATTATAATATTTAGCAGAAGACATAATACAGCAACCCCAAGTGGTAAATGTGGTATTGCCGATCGAATCCACGAGTCTGTGTTAGTCAGTGGTGATTTAGGCTTTTCTTCAACAGGTTTGTTGCTCAACATAACCTGGTTCTGCATCCTGATGTCAATTGATTTCCTGGACGTGGTGTCAATAGATAATCTAGAGGAATCTCTTCTGGATCCAAGTGACGTTTTATCATCTTTATCGTCATTGTCCTTTTTACCCTTAGCGGGGACAGATAGAGCAAACTTTCCACTGGATTTAGACTGATTCAGAGAATCATTGACGCTCACATGTTTCACATCACCGTTTTGCTGAGCTTGGCCCGGTTTTGTAGCTCTCGCTGCAATCTTTTTCAAAGCTACTCTTGTCAAAATGGATTTTGGCTTGTCTCCAAGTTCACTTAATATAGTATCAGCTGACTCTTTAGCTTCTTCGTCGTCTGTCTTGGTTCCTTTTTTCTCCTCGGTAGATTCAACTTTGATATCTCTTGTAGTGACAGGACCCATTTCATTTTCTATTTTCAGAGTAGCTTCAAGTTTCTCGGGTTTGGAATCTGAAGATGGTTTAATCTTTTTAGGATCTGATCTTGCTGGACTTCGTTTGGGGCTTCGGGCAGGACTGGCGTCACGAGACGACTTAACATTGGTTTTCATTTTATCCCTATTTAATCTTTCTTTCCTCGGCGTTCCTGGTGCGGATGGTAATGGGCCTTGGGATTTTTCATTGTCTGCATTTGGGATATTATTTGGAGTTGGTGGTACGTTCAACTTTTCTTTGCTGCTCTTTTTCTCCATGAGTTTACCTTTTGGATCTTTAGTTGGTGGGTTCGGTGTGGCTGCTCTTGTGGATACAATAACAGTATTTGATTCTGTTTTATTCTTATCTGATTTATTCTTGTTGTTTTTAAGATCATATGTTTTCTTTGACGCTTTGAGAGAGTCTGTATCACTTTGTTCCTTCTTTGTTTCCAAGACATGCTTCTTGTTTGGTTCATCGCGCTTATGTTTATCCTTATTTGTTGTTTCTTTCGTTTCAGAGCTATTTTTAACACTTTTATTTGCATGTGTGTTATTTTTTGCGATCTCAGCTTCTTCTACTGTGTCTGTCTTTATGGTTTTATCCTCTGTTTCTTGAGTACTTTTCAACAGAAGCTTTGACTTCACAGCCTCTTTGGCTTTTGCCTGATCGTTCTTTATTGATTCATCAATTCCTGATGATGGTTGATTTTTAACAGTGGTTTGATGTACTGGAGCCACAGGAATCGATCCCAGAGTTCCTGGTCCTTTTGGTGGTTCAATTATATCTGTCTCGGTTACCACCGTGGCGTCTGTACCGTCTTTTGGGGCATCTTTTGTACTTGTGTTCGCCTTCGTGCCCTTGTCTTTAGACTTGGAATGTTTTGGCGAATGTCTTCTCCTGTTGAAAGGCGATTCTTGTAGTTCTTCCATTGGTATAAGTTCGTCACCTTTTGCTTTTAACTGATTCTTCTCAATACTCACCTCTCTTGGAGGTGTATATGGGTTTTTCTGGACGTTCACTGAATCAGATGGTCCTTCCGCGGGACTTTGGTCATATCTTTTATCACTTATGGTGTCCTTGCTATCAGACGATGGATTAAATCGTGGAATTTTAGCATCGTATGTTTGTTTAGGTTGTCCAATGAAACCTTTCAAGGCAATTTCAGTAGACGTTTTCGGCGGATTATTGTCCGAGGGTGACGTTTTTACATTCATATTGTCATGAGGAAGCGAGACGGGTATTTTGCTTCTAGTTTCATTTTGGGGAATTGATGTTGTAAAAGAGGTCCTCTGGGATGATGAAGCTGTACTGAGAGACCCTGGTAGATTATTCTGAGTTGGTGGGTCTTGCTTTAAAGTCACTTTATCCTGATTAGTCTTTAAAGGATGATCTCCAGAATTTGAACTATCCTCCAACAATGATTTATTCTCGGTGATCCTGTTATTAGCGGAAGCGAGGATAGACTTCTTCCTTTCCGTGAAGTCGGGTTTTCTATCGGATCTTGGTGTCGAAGAAAATCCATCATCAAATGACACATGTAGCTGACTCTTCTCCATACTGATCAAATGTTTATAATATCTGAAAAATATAAAAATCACAAAGGGTGGTGTTAAATTGTGATGTCTTTAAATTCCACAATAAATAAATAAATTTTTTTATTGATATTAGCGACAAATTTCTTACTATCCAGGACAATATGTTGTTATGTATGCTTTTGTATGCTATGAGTAAATCTTAAAGGAACAGAGTCGCCATTTTTTGACCAATCAGAAACGGGAATTTTTTTTAGCTGAGCCAATCAGTAATAGAAATCTATAAAACATCTATAGAAAAAGGAAAAGAAATTCCTAGTTTGAAATATTATTGAAGGAATTATGTATGCGATTTTCGTACATTTCTAGTACTTCTGAAGTCTATTGACATATATATTCAAGGCTCAACACCCCCCCCCCCCCCATCCCAAATGGCGCATCTGTCCCTTTAATATAAAGATAACAATTACTTGCGACGTTTCGATTATGCTACTCTTGGCGATCAATAGTATTGAAACACTTCGTTTATGGTACAATAAGTGTTTGGTCACAGTCCACGATTGAAAACAATTTACATAAAAGACACATTTATAAAATACCATAGTTATTGGTTTGGAAATAGGATATTATGAATTATTTATGGAGTAATGGAAATCAAAGACCAAAAACAATATGGTGTAACTTGTGATAATGGAAATTGTCTGTATATGTCTTCAATTATGTTATTTTTTCAAGTGGAAATTATTGATTGATTACATCAATTCAGCCAGTCTGTCAATCAATGTTAATGTTGTTGACCAAGTTAACACATGTACTGCAGTATTTTTTGTATTATGACGGTTACGTTATATTGTCTACATACTTCATTGTAATATTTTGATAAATCAGTACTTTTTGTTAACTGAGTCATTTCTAAGTCAATTATATTCATATTTTGGCAAAGAAGTAGGCTTACTTATCGTTTTGCAACCATTACAATATTGTAGGCTATCTTGTCAAAGTTAATAATTTATTTTGATAAAGCAGTACTTTTGTTTTGTGACCAAATTTTATGTTGTCAAAATAAAGTATTGTCGTATTCTGATGAATATATAGAGTAGTTTTGTGGCCGTTAATTATGTTGCCAAATAAATTATTGTCGTACTCGGATCAATCTATAGAATATGTTTTGTGACCGTCATATAATGTCGTCAAAATAAATTATTGTCGTACTCTGATGACTATATAGAATAGTTTTGTGGCCGTTAATTATGTTGCCAAATAAATTATTGTCGTACTCGGATCAATCTATAGAATATGTTTTGTGACCGTCATATAATATCGTCAAAATAAATCATTGTCGTACTCTGATGACTATATAGAATAGTTTTGTGGCCGTTTATTATGTTGCCAAAATAAATTATTGTCGTACTCTGATCAATCTATAGAATATGTTTTGTGACCGTCATATAATATCGTCAAAATAAATTATTGTCGTACTCTGATGACTATATAGAATAGTTTTGTGGCCGTTTATTATGTTGCCAAAATAAATTATTGTCGTACTCTGATCAATCTATAGAATATGTTTTGTGACCGTCATATAATGTCGTCAAAATAAATTATTGTCGTACTCTGATGGCTATATAGAATAGTTTTGTGGCCGTTTATTATGTTGCCAAAATAAATTATTGTCGTACTCTGATCAATCTATAGAATATGTTTTGTGACCGTCATATAATATCGTCAAAATAAATTATTGTCGTACTCTGATGAATATATAGAATATTTTTTTGTGATCGTTTTATTACATTGTCAAAATAAATTATTGTCATAGTCTGATGAATCTATAGAATATGTTTTGTGACCGTTATATTATACCGTAAAAATAAGTTATTGTCATAGTCTGATGAATCTATAGATTATGTTTTGTGACCGTTAGTAAACAATAACTTATAACAAATAACACAAGTTACATCAATTATTTCATGCACAGCAAATCATTATGTCAAAAAAATTTTTTGTCATACTCTGATGAATCTATAGAATATGGTTTGTGACCGTTATATTATATCGTAAAAATAAATTATTGTCGTAGTCTGATGAATCTATAGAATATGGTTTGTGACCGTTATATTATATCGTAAAAATAAATTATTGTCGTAGTCTGATGAATCTATAGAATATGGTTTGTGACCGTTATATTATATCGTAAAAATAAATTATTGTCGTAGTCTGATGAATCTATAGAATATGTTTTGTGACCATTATATTATATTGTCAAAATAAGTTATGTCATAGTCTGATGAATCTATAGAATATGTTTTGTGACCGTTATATTATATCGTAAAAATAAATTATTGTCGTAGTCTGATGAATCTATAGAATATGGTTTGTGACCGTTATATTATATTGTCAAAATAAATTATTGTCGTAGTCTGATGAATCTATAGAATATGGTTTGTGACCGTTATATTATATCGTAAAAATAAATTATTGTCGTACTCTGATGAATCTATAGAATATGGTTTGTGACCGTTATATTATATCGTAAAAATAAATTATTGTCGTAGTCTGATGAATCTATAGAATATGGTTTGTGACCGTTATATTATATCGTAAAAATAAATTATTGTCGTAGTCTGATGAATCTATAGAATATGTTTTGTGACCGTTATATTATATCGTAAAAATAAATTATTGTCGTACTCTGATGAATCTATAGAATATGTTTTGTGACCGTTATATAATATCATAAAAATAAATTATTGTCGTAGTCTGATGAATCTATAGAATATGGTTTGTGACCGTTATATTATATCGTAAAAATAAATTATTGTCGTAGTCTGATGAATCTATAGAATATGTTTTGTGACCGTTATATTATATCGTAAAAATAAATTATTGTCGTAGTCTGATGAATCTATAGAATATGTTTTGTGACCGTTATATTATATCGTAAAAATAAATTATTGTCATAGTCTGATGGATCTATAGAATATGTTTTGTGACCGTTATATTATATCGTAAAAATAAATTATTGTCGTAGTCTGATGAATCTATAGAATATGGTTTGTGACCGTTATATTATATCGTAAAAATAAATTATTGTCGTAGCCTGATGAATATATAGAATATGGTTTGTGACCGATATTTTCAAAGTAAATTATAGTGATATTCTGATGAACCAGTACTTTTTGTTTTGTGATCGATATATTAAACTGTCAAAGTAACTTTGATGTTGAAAGCATCATTATCATTTTGCTGAGCTCATTTAAAATTTATTGAAATATAGTTCTAATAAAGTGAAAAATAAACAGAGCAAATCGAAACTAGACTTATCGATTAGTTTGCTGTTGTATTGTAATAAAAGTACATGATGGTTGAAGACAATATAAGATTGTTATGTCTGCTTTGGCGTTTGTATCAAATGAAACTGGTCAATTTTGAAGCCGAAAACTATTTCTTTGGTGGTTCTTAATTGTCAGCAACCCAGTTGAAACGACAAGTTTTCTTTTTGGCTTTTTTTTACACCAGCTGTATCAGATCGGTTAAGAAACTTAGATGTTCCTCATTTCAATCAATTCTATTCATAAATTAAATATTGTTGAGAAAATAACTGGACTAACAACGAGTCGTCCAAAGAATTTGAAGATCGCAGGATGTCCATTGTCCATTTTATCTTTTTAAACATATTTTTTTCCTTTTGTCACAATGTGACATGTAAAAATATAGGTTTTGTTTTTGTGAACTCTAAATTTATCCATAGTATAAAAAAGAAATGTGTTGTATGTAAATGTTTTGAACATGGTAAAAAACGTACGAACATAAGGATAGGTATACATAATTATACAATTATAGATTCATAATACGTAATATGTATATATAAAACATATAATAATCATGTAATAATAATGTAGATAATACTTACGATAACAGTTAAAATTCACATAATGACGACGTAATTCCCTGAGGTACAAAAACGCACCTAGATTACTGAGTATAATAGTAATTCCAATAACCAGTAGGGTTTATCACAATTAAAACTCAAAGCAATAATCGACCAGTAGAACTCTATACGTCAACTGATTTGCTCTGGTTATTCATCAGAAACTGTCAATATTTCTAAACAATAACGACTTAAGTACGATCATTGAAATTTTCTCAATACTTGATCAAAACAGGCTTGTCTGCCAATCATATTGCTTGGTTCCATAACTCTCTATCATTATGCCAATCAAAAGTGGAAATATTCCTATCTAGAAGAGATCAAATCACTCTACGGGAGATTATTGAAATTCTATTCCTAACCTAATGTGATTAAATAAGTGCTGACGCAAATGGGTTTATTTGTTATTTATGCAACCGTTTATCTACTACCAGCAGCATATCAAGGACAATTACTCTTGAATTACTAGTCAATTGCTTTCAAATTTTAACAGTTCTTTATTCTAAAACACATATCGAAGGATTATTGAACATATGGTTACCAAGCCCACTTTTAGCGTATTTTCAGTATACCAGGAGTTGTAACTCAGGAAATATTTGTCGAATCGTTCTATAATTCAAACATATCCGAGATCTAGTGGATATAAAATTGAAACTTAGTTGCGATTTCGTTTAAAAATCTAGTGGATGGACATTTCAACGTGGACGTAAAATATAAAACTCTTGCCTCTGTGATGTTCACAAAACACTGTTAACGTATTTACAGTATATCAAGGGAAGTAAATCCGTAGATATATACAGAATCATATTCAGATTAGAACTTATCCGAGATCTTGTGGATATTATCCTACAATTTTCATAAAAAATCTGACAAAAAAACTCTTCACAAACCACAGGCGGACGTTGGCCTACTTACTACCGTATGCTACCAATATGAACATTTACAGTAAATACAGAATTTACTTAACCAACGAAAAATACCCCAAAATGGGCGAAAAACCTGCAATTTGTTGCCTTGGAAAAGCTTGAGAATTCAACAAAAGATACCTTTAATTACCATTTTATTTTAGCTACCAATATTTCGCCAAAATGTTTCGGGTTTCGTTTTGCGGTTCGGATCGTTAGTACTTGGTTTATTTATCTATATTT